AAACACTACTTCCTGCTTGCATGGGTGTATGCGAAACTCCAGACCTGGTTGGATAGGTATGTACTCAATATTGTGGAGCTATTTCTATTTCTGTTGTCTCTGATGGTGTGCCTTGCCGTTCCCACTGTGAGTCTGCACCTTCACTGTCCCCGGCGCTTGTCCCGATGAGTCGTATGCATGCCTGCACCTTGTGCGCGGTTTTGCCCTTGGCCGAATATCTACCCCGTGTCTGCCTGGAGTAAGTTGTCGCTCCTTCCTGGTTATGGTGGTGGCTGATGATGCTGTATAGCAGGCCATATTTTCTCATGCCCGGGTCTGCATCCAGGTGGTGTCATATACAGGTGTGTTCTGATGACTGAATGATCTGCTGTACCTATGCATTGTTGGTGCTTCTCTTATGCTGATCTGCCATTGGAAGCTTTCCTAGCCGGCTTTGGGGGAAGGGAGGGGGAGGGCAGAAGTGATAGGCTGATGTGGGCAGAGAAATTGTATTTACATGCCTGTCTCTAGCTACATTGTGAATATATCTCCATGCTCTTTGTGCTATCCTGGAAATGGTGTGATGTGCTTGCAACATAACTGCCATCTAACAAGAGATGATGTTGTCTGATTGGCAATAATTATGTCTAATTAGCTAGGGGACAAACCTAACTTGTATAATTAGATAGAACTGCATAATGCAGCTAATCCTGCATAATTATGCGGGATTAGACATGATTAGACATAATTAGCTTAGGAGGGTTTTCCTGATGATGTCACGGTTTAAGCCGACGTGTTGAGCTGCTCCAGCCTCATTGGCCATGTCGCCAGAATTCACAAGAAAGGAACCTCGCTCTTTAGTGGTTCTTGTCCACCGCGCATCCCGCCCAAGCGTCTTGGAAATCGCAAGCGTCAGTGGACTGTGGCGCGGTCTTCAGTAGAACACTGCTTACCACCACCCTACTTGAGGCTTGCGAGTGGCACCAAGGAAAGGTATATAAGGAACCCCTTGGTCACCTATCCGTCCCTCAGACCCAATTTTCATCTCACTGGATACCACTCACCCTGCATCCGTCATTGCGAAAACCAGAAGTACACCCAAACAATACACGAAGCATTGGAGCGTTGTCGTGCCGTGACGGGGAGCTTCCGCCGTCTTCCCTCGTACTTGTCCGTGGCTAACTCTTCCTTAGACGACAAACCACAAACCGGATCCTGCCACTCTCTCCGCACTATTGTTTGTGCCCGGAAATTACTTGCTCGCTCTCGTGCGATGCTGACTTAAGTCGACCTTCTACGAGTCACGAAGAGCACCAAAGGCCACAGATAGAGGTGTGATCGTACATCCACCTCCCTTCATATTCTCATCACGTCCCTTGCAGTGGCCGGGAACCGAGTTGCGCGTCACAGGGGATATGCCTTGTCCGCGACCGGCGGCACCGTATTGGGGCCGGCAGAGGAGAGGAGCCA